GACCTCAATCTATAATGTCATCAAGCTAAAATAAAAACAAGCTAAAATGATCAAATCTAAAATTATAAAAGCCTTAAATGATTGGACGCTAAAATTATGACAACCTTAAAATTTAATGACCATAATAAATAATAACACGATGAAAAGCTAAAATGATAACAGCCTCAAATAACAAGCTAAAATATTGACAAATCTAAATGACCACAATCTATAATGTTCACAAGCTAAAATAAAAACAAGCTAAAATGATCAAATCTAAAATTATATATAATATAAAAGCCTTTAATGATCAAAGCTAAAATTATGACAACCTTAAAATTTAATGAGCATAATAAATAATAACACGATGACAAGCTAAAATGATAACAGCCTAAAATAACAAGCTAAAATATTGACAAACCTAAATGACCACAATCTATAATGTTCAGAAGCTAAAATGATCAAATTATGACAACCTTAAAATGATGATGATCATCTAATTTAATGACTATAATCTAAAATGATAACACGATTGCAAATGATACTTTTTTGTCATTTGTCAGACTCTGCCCTTTTTCTTTTGAATATAAAACTGCTAAACAACCACGTTTGAAATCATTGTGAGTTCATGGTCTATATTTTCCTGCGTTTCATTTTTTTCTTGCCAGCTTCTTGGAAGGAATTTCCTTGACAATATTTTTTTCACCCTCTTAGGCTTTCTAAGACTAACTGTCTTGGATCCTTATACTCATAAGTATCTGGATTTTGGTGGTAGTTTGGTGGACCACATTCACCAACATCTTCCTCTTCAAAGCTCTTGGTCCCGAGATGTTCTGCATAAGCACTGATGCTCTCATTGCGATCTTGTGATATCTTGTTTATTTTATAATGGTTGCCTTGGTAAATAAAGAACTTTTCATCAATCACCAATTACAAAATGCGTAAAAATAACTAATAACAATTCCTGTAGCACAATGTATTGCGTGGAATTTATTTGGAATTGCTTTTAATGTACCTGCTGTTTTTTGTGAGATTTCAATAACGGTTAGATCTAAGTGAAAACTGACACAAAAACTAATCGATACGTGAGTTCATTTTGATCCGTGCGGTCTCTTATGCAAGCTTTTTGGGAATGCTCTTCACTTTAACTGCTTTTTAATTTAACGTTGTTTCCGAAACCGAAAAACTTACCGTTACGGCTTGACTAAGAAGAAACAATTCGTGGGTTGAGTATTATAATGTTCTAACAGCACTTTTGGCGCGAAATCGGCTTTTTTGATAGAAAAATAGTACATAAAATTTCTGTTTTGTGTATATAAAAATGCCTGTTTAATTTAATACACAAACTAAAAAAAAAGCATTATTAAATTGTTCTATCGCACTTATTTAAAAACGGTTTAAAATTATAATATCCTAACAGACCAACCAATGAGAGAAGAGAATTTTGATCTGTTAGAACAAATAATTTTTGCTGTTTCAGTTTTGTACGCAAGTAATAATCACGTGGTTGTGCGGTGCAATTAAAAAAAAAAGAAATACGTAGGTATGTTCTTATTTAAGGGATACTTCTTAGAACCCTAAAGTTTTGGAATTATTTAGAACTAAAAACTTTTAGTTTTAAAGAATTTTGTATGCTGTTAGAACAAAATCTGATGTTTTGTGTAAAATTTTCGTTTTCAATAAAAAAAAATGTTCTATCAAAAATTGTTTATTTTGTAAAACCCAGTATTGGAAGAAATAAGTTCAAATAGGGACAATACATTTTTTAATTCTTAAGGATATGAGTCCAAAACCAGTACTTAAAATTATAAAAATCTTTACAAACGGTATTAGAATGAGCCTGGAATATTTAATCGCCATTCCCCAACAATTTCATTTTGGATTTATAGAACAATATAATACTCAACCCACGAATAATTGTTGTTTGGTGCGCGGGTGTTGCAATCTCGCTTTGACTAATTGAAAATTGATTTTTTGTTCGGTATTCTTTGCCGAACCCGTGGATAATCTTTTTAACAACTTGCACTTACTCTCTCAAACCGTTTTTCGGTTTTTTGGAATATACTTTTATCGAAAGGTTCAAGCACCAGATTGAAGGTCGAAATCGAAAATGTGATATGTCTGATGATTGTATTTTAGATTTTAGAACATGCAGAACGTTTTATGTGGAATAAGTTTTTTCTTAAAATTAATAATAATTCACTAATGCAAGAATTTTAAGAAATCATACATTTTGAAAGCTTCACGGAGGGTAGGATTTCCCTTTCCCTTTGTATATTTGAAATAAGTTATTGTATCTTTTGACACCTTAATATTTTTAAAAAATACAATTGTCCATACATAAAATATTTATAAAAAAAATCTACTTACCGAGATATTACACTTCACGGTGGATAGGTTTTTAAATAGCAATTAATGAACTTAAACTTTTGAATTAAAAAACAGCAACACTATCAGAGATGAGAGTGTTGCTGTTTTATAATTCAAAAGTTTAAGTTCATTAATTTGCTATTTAAAAACCTATCCACCGTGAAGTGTAATATCTCGGTAAGTAGATTTTTTTTATAAATATTTTATGTATGGACAATTGTATTTTTAAAAAAATATTAAGGAGTCAAAAGATACAATAACTTATTTTAAATATACAAAGGGATGTTTAAAAAAACATACGAAATCCTAACCTCCGTGAAGCTATCTTCCGTGAAGCTCTAATATTCAAAATGTATGATTTCTTAAAATTCTTGCATTAGTGCCTTAATTAAACTTATATTTAATAACTATAAATCAAATTTTTCTTTCTGTGTAGTATACCAAAGTTCGCCTTAATATACTTGAAAAGAAATACACATGTCCATAGACTATAGTCAGGGGAAGTGATGAAAAGTGCCGACTTGGGACCACATACAAATTACTAAGAATTTGCCGAAATGTGACACTCATGTTATATGTTCAAGGCGCCAAAGACATAAACCCCAAAGGCGTTTCATTTTTGACATTGTTTCCGTTTTCACAACTTTACATGGTAATCCGATATTTTGACTAATTATTAAAAAAATATTACAAGCACATTAACAAGTTTTAATGTCTATTAATAAAGAATTAAAATTACAAATTAATTACATCGTTTTTTCCACAGGCATAATTTATTTGAAACTTATTAATATGTAAAATTAATTTTCAGCGTTTTAATGGCTCTTAAATTCTTTTTGCACTTAATTGCTGCCTGGTTTATTGCAGTTTCGACCGTACGTTAGGTTAATGGTTTTTTATTGAAAACAGTTAATTGGAAAATTATTATTAATCACATTTTATTATCCTCTATGAAATTAATATTGACTGTTTATGATGCTGGCCAGATAATAATATCTATGGTTCATTCCATATCGAATAAATATTTGTACTAACATATTATTTACATAATAATATTATGTTAAAAACATGAAATTTGAAATTGTACCATAACCATAACCATACACAGTAAAAAATTTTGCCCGTGTAATTTTTTTTAGTGTAGGGGTAAAAATATTAGAGTTGATTTGTAAGTGTAAAAGTTACACTACAAAATACACTAGGTAGCATTTAGTGCTTATTAACTTTATTAAACATTTAAAGAACATGAACAATATTCATTGGTACATTCACACTATTTATTAAAATAAATCAAAAGGGTAGAAAAACTTGCGAGTGTTTATTACCCCTTAATGTGTAATAGTGACAAAATGTACACTACAGTGCATCCCAATTTCTTTGTCTGTTTTGATGTTACATTGTGGCAAAATAGACTGAAAAACCTGGTAATATCCGAAATGCGTTTTAAAATAGTAGACAGTGCATATCTGGAGATACCGGGTTGTGGAAGTGTGGCATTTTTGTTCAGTTATATTTTAATTACGTTGAATCCATAAGGGAACATTCTTTTTTTTTTTCTTTAAGCCTTAATACTCAATAAATACCAATATGTTAAAAGGATGTCCATACCCGACTTATATTATATATCAATTATTTACGGCAGTAGGTCAGGTACTTGTAACATTAATAATATAAATACATACACATTTGATTTACTTTTTATTTTCAAGCGTAATGGGTATTATATTAACCTATACCACCTACATTTTTAATATTATGGAAAATTTGTAAACGTGTGGTAAATCCCCGACATACAGCCGCCTGACGCCTCTCTACCAATGGGATCATCCATTTTTTATAACAGAAAAATGGATTACTGATGAATTCTCAAGATAATTCATTGCTTACAAGTTGACAGCCAGTAAAACATTGCATTGATCTAAAATTTTACGTTTTAAGGAACTATTTTGCTTAAGCCAGCCATACGACTCAAATATAAAAATCGGACTAAAGGCACCGATTTTAATAATTGTCACAGATTTTTGTTCCAAATAAATGTTTTTCTTTATTTACCTTTTCGTTTTATTTACTTTCACCAATAGGTTTTACTCAAATAATAGTGTTAATTTACACTAGAAGTTTTCACTAAAAGAGTAAAAGTACCTTTCTAAAATTAGAACTTTTCCAAAGTAGTGTTAATTTACACTGAACAAAAGTGGGATTTTACCCAGGAAGTGTAGAAGTACACGATTTTAGGTTAATTAACACTTTTTAATACAGTGTAAAATTACTTTATCCTCAGTGCTATAGTGTTAAATCATACTTGCTTACTTGGGGAAAATTACACTACAAATTAACTCTAATTGTAGTGTTATAAAACAACACTATTTAGTGTGGACCTGTGTGAACTCTAATTAGTGTTCCTTAGAGTTGATTTTTTTTTACTGTGTATATTATACAGTTAGTACTTTTGAAAAATAATGAATTAAAAAAAAATTATTATTTTTATTTATATGTATAAAAAAAGAGAATAATGATAGCTAATTATTTTGCCCATACTAATTACTATAACTGCTAATTTATATTTTAAATAAAACAAAACAAACGTGGAGGTTTAGTTATTTGAATAATATCATAAAAATTAAATTAAATAGGAAAAATTTAAATATCATATATCATAATATGATGTATTATATTGAATTTCTAATATTAACTTTTTCACTGGTGGCAGCAAAAAATAATGTCTGCCCTAGCCATTTAGACTATTTTACCATAACTTTTAATTCAAAGTGTTGGTATGATCCAGATGTAGATGCCACAATAGTAAGTTAAAAACTGTATTTTTTAATAATTAAATATAGTAATTGTAGCCAGAAATTATAAATAATTATGGTTTCAAATCGGAATCGTACAATGTCACTACATTGGATGGCTACATCATTGAAATATTCAGAATACCATCAAAACTAAATGAAATTTCTAACAAAACCAAAACTCCTTTAATATTATTTCACGGTATGGCGAGAGATGCTAGATCTTGGTTAATACTGGGAGAAGATTCACCAGGTTTGTAAAAAAAATACAAAAAAGATATAATATTTTGTTTTTTAGCCATATATTATGCCAAAAAAGGCTATGACGTTTGGTTGGCTAATAGAAGAGGAACCGAGTATTCAAGTCATATTAAATATAGCAGGAACGATAAAGAATTCTGGAACTTCAGGTACTATATCAAGTATACACTGTTTAAAATATCTGTGGTGTAAAGAGTAATCTTAAAATGGTGTCAAAATCCAACTCCCAGTGGTGTTAATATAAACACCATGAATTATGGTTGAAAATGTTATATACACCAAAACGGTGTTTATCTAAAAATATTTGAGAAGTGCACCTACACAGAAAAAACGGAATAGTTCATTTAACTATATTAATTTAGTTGACCCATAAGTATTTATTTAAATCAACTGTGGGAAGGTTAATATAAACAAAGATTAGTTTGACGGTACTAAACCAGATAGTTATTTTTTTTTAATTGGTCAAATTAACCCAAAAAACTTTAGTGAAACCAACCTGCTGTATGGTTCAGTTTACTAAATATGTTGTTTGTAAAATAAGAGTTACTTCAACCTAAAGCACTCTGTTAAAACGATTAAAACAATTTGCCGTGCATTCCTGGTTGCATAGTGTGAACCGATCGCGGCAAAGGCGGTGTGGATCACGTGATGTTCTTAAATCTTGCCTCTGTTGACTTACATAAAGAGTATATAAGCTCAGATAGTCCTTTGCTTTGGTGAGACACTACAAGTTGTTCGATACTAAAGAGACCTTAAATAGGTGGAAACAGCTGTCAATACTTGAAGTATTTTAAGTTGGTGGAACGCACTAAAAACATTATCTCTAGCGAGTTGAAAGTTCAATTTTCTGGAATAATACCACTGGTAATATACTAAATAGTAATGCGTCAAGGAACTTCCTGGTTCCTTTTTTTTCCTTTTTTTCTGTGTAGTATGATTTAATTTGGACAAAAGCACATAATATTTAACACTGAAAAGGAGTTCAATTTACACCAGATAAAATTTATTTTAATACTGTGTGAAAGTTAAATTTACACTATTTTAGTATTTGAATTTACACCGGACCAACGAACCATATTTAACACCATTTTGGTTTGTATCGATAAAGACCATATGGTGTTAATTTGGTGTTGATGGTCATGAAATTTTGAAGTGTACACAGCAAAATAATATTTTTTATAGTTTTCATGAAATGGGTACTATGGACGTACCAACGATCATTGAAAAAGTTGCAGATGTATCAAAACAACCTGGTAATATTATCTACATTGGTCACTCTATGGGAACAACAGCCAGCTTTGTTTATTGTTCATTAAACATCACTCACTGTGCGAAAAATTTAAAAACTATCATTTCTCTGGCACCCGTTGCTAATTTTAACCACATGAAAATTCCCATGTGCCATACAATGTCATACTTTACAAACGAACTAGAGGTACAACAGTTTTTAAACAATTTCTGTCAACTAAATTGTTTTTTTTTTAGTTTATTTTAACGCATGTGGGTCTCCTCAAAATGGAAACAAACTTTTTCAGAATTTGTCAAACGGCTCCTTTTACATCTATTTGTGCAGCCCTCATGCAATTTTTTATTGGTACTAGTACACCTAACATATATCCTGTAGGTTGACTCAATTATTTATTATAACCCCAACACCATTTTGTTGTCAAATACAATTTTTTTTAGAGAATAATGCCCATACTAAGTGCTCATGGCAATACAGCACTCTGTTTAAAAGTTGCATTGCATTACGGGCAAATTATAAAAAGTAAAGGGCAATTTAGACAATACGATTACGGTCAAATAGAAAATTTGAAAAAATACAATTCTACGGTGCCACCAAAATATAACCTCAAAGGTATTCCTGTAAATGTGACTTTAATATACGCCAATAATGATCTGGTAGCTTACAAACCTGTGGGTATATATTTTAAGAGTCAGCTACTGATTTAATAAAAAAAATTGTAGGATGTTGAAGAGATATATTCAAATTTACATCCAAACAGAAGAGTTATAGTTGAAATACCAAGAAATGGTACTGCAAAATATTTGGCCCATCCGGACTTTTTCACAGCTGCCAATATAAAAAATGTTTTGTACCCTGAAATTGATAATGTTTTGAATAAAATAAAAAATGAATAAACCTATAATATAATTTAGCTCAAAATACCTGTCTACATTTGGTTGTAAAATTTATATTTCACCATTCTCTCTTGTCTAAGGATTTCATATACGTGACGATATAGAAAAAGTTTTGTTTGTATTAATAATATTTAGGATAAAATAAAACATAATACTATATAAAAAAATTTCAATACTATTAATAAAACAAACATGTTTATAATGTAAATACATTTTTTATTCTATTGCATAGTAGTTAAAATAACTATTTCTACGTCTATGTATAATCAAAATGTTGTTATCAATAAAATTGAACTATATAAGTAAAAATTAATTATAATGTTTATATTGCAAAGATATGTCGTATATTGTCCAATATTTCGCTTTAATATTGACTTTTTCGATTGTGTCAACAAAAAATAATGTTTGTCCCAGTGATTGGGACTATTTAACCATACATTCAAACCCTGAATGTTGGTATGATCCTGATGTAGACGCCACAATAGTAAGTTAAGAACTGTATTTTTTATTTATCGTATCTATAGAGCGTACTTGAAGCCAGGAATAATAAATAATTACGGTTTTAAATCGGATCTGTACAATGTCACCACATGGGACGGTTACATTATTGAGATATTCAGAATACCATCAAAATTAAATGAAATTGCTGGAGAAAGCAAAACTCCTTTATTACTGTTTTCTGGACTGCTAGCAGATGCTAGATGTTGGCTGATACATGGAGAGGATTCACCCGGTGAATATATAAAAATAACTAAAATAATTTTTTATTTTGAATTTTTTTAGCCATATATTATGCCAAAAAAGGCTACGACGTTTGGATAGCAAATAGAAGAGGAACCGAGTTTTCAAGTCATATTAAATATAGTAGGAACGATAAAGAATTCTGGAACTTCAGGTACCATATACCGTATACACAGCACAACAATAAAATAATATTTTTAGTTTTCATGAAATGGGTACCATAGATGTACCAACGGTCGTTGAAAAAGTTGCTGAGGTATCAAAACAACCTGGTAATATTATCTTTGTTGGTCACTCTATGGGAACAACATCAAATTTTGTTTATTGCTCAACAAACAGCACTCACTGTGGAAAAAATTTAAAGGGCATAATTTCTCTAGCACCCGTTGCTAAATTAAGTAGGAACAGGATACCATTTTCACATTTTCTTGCGATTTTCACTGAAGAAATAAAGGTGAGGTTTGTATAGTATATTGTAAAACGAGACAATTAAAATTAATTTAGTTTAATCATTTAATAATAGTGGAGAAATATTGCCAAGAAGATTCACTTTTGTAGTGTGTTATACTTTTTAAATTTAATGATTTCTTTTAGTCTTATTTAAATTCTTTGGGCATCTACAGATTGGAAATAGATTCAATGTTCAGAAAGTGTCTAAAGGTACCTTTAACGTTTATTTGTTCAGTGGCTATTAAATTCTTTACAGGATCTTATATTTTTCCTGTAAGTATACGGACATATTTAACCCATTGATTTCTGTAAAAAGTGTTTTTAGACAAAAATGCCATTACTTTTTACACAAGGCAATACCCCAGTCTCTGTTAAAGTGTTGGCGCACTACGGGCAAATTATTAATAGTAATGGTCACTTTAGACACTACGACTATGGCAAAAAGGAGAATTTAAAAAAATACAATACGTTGCAACCACCAAAGTATAATCTAGAAAATATTCCTGTACACGTCACTTTACTATACACACTAAATGATTTGGTAGCCCATAAACATGTAAGTGCAATAATTATTATAAACACTTAAGGTAGTTGTCGTGCTATAAGCATACCATCAGAAAATTTTGAATTTTTGTATACTTATTAAGGACATGACAATACATATATCCTTAAAATTTGAAGTCGATTGACCGTCTATAACCCGAGATAAATTCAATTAAAAATTGGATAATTAACATGGATTGTATAGGCTTTCTGTAGTTCTGTACCAGTTTCTTAGTTATACAGAAAAAACTAACTGTCAGAAGCTTTCAAAAAACTAACATTGTTTTAATGTATTATTGCTGAGTTTAAAAAAAAATAATTAAAAATTTTTGACCGTCCAATTGTTTATAAATAACCGTTTAAAGTTCAACAATTTGTAAAAAGTATACATCACTAGTGTCAGAAAAAAACAACTTGGCAAGGCTGTACGCGAGTATAGATATAATTTCCGCAGTAAATTCAAACGTGTGATTCAGTCTCCAATATATCTATTGGTTGAGCATAAGCGACGTTGCCGGATTAAAACTAATGAAAATATTTGAAAGTATTACGTAAAAATAACGTCTCCAGGGTACAGTCTTGCGAACAAATTATGAATCACTTAGCTACCAGCTCGTATACTTTTACGGTGCGTATAATCTAAAAATTTTTGACAATATTGTACCACGACAACTACCTTAATTACTGATATAATTTTTAAAAATATTTTAGGATGTTGATGATCTCTATTCCAACTTAAATCCAAACAAAAGGGATATTGTTGAAATACCAAGAAAAAATTTAGGTCATCTTGATTTTATAACCCCTTCAAATGTAGAGCAGGATTTATATTCAGAAATAAACAATGCTTTGAAAAAAATTAAAAATATATAAATATGAGATAAACTTGTTTTACTAGCTATTTATAAGTTTTGTTTTATTTATAATTGTAAAAAATAAAATGTATTAATAATTTATGAATAATAAACAAAATATAAAATAATTGGAAAAATATTTTAATAATACAATTCCAGATTATAATACCACCCACGATAACGGTAGATAAAATAATAAAATATTAAAATATTACAAAAATAAAATAATAAAATAATAAAATAATGAAATAATAAAATAATAACATAATAACATAATAAAATAATAAAATATTGAAATAATAAAATAATGAAATAATAAAATAATAAAATAATAATATAATAAAATAATAAAACAATTAAATAATAAAATAATAAAATAATAAAATAATAAAATAATAAAGTAATAAAATAATAAAACAATTAAATAATAAAATAATAAAATAATAAAGTAATAAAATAATAAAGTAATAAAATAATAAAATAATAAATAAATAAAAAAATAAAATAATAAAATATTAACATTATAAAATAATAACATAATAAAATAATAATAGTATATTGTTTATCAAGTTTTATAAACGCCATCCTAGTTACGAGTTTTATTAGGCACGAGCGAAGCTTGCCAGCGGGTGTTTAATATAAAAACAAGTCTATAGAGAAGTTTATAAAACGAGTTACGTACTATACTTTATCTACGACGAACAGAAATAACAATTAAAAGCCAATTTTAATTTATAAATATTTGACATTTGACAAATTTAACCTCACTTTTTTGCAATTTATAATAAATCTAACTTCAGCCCGTGACTAAAATGTAGGAGTAGATTAAAGAAATTAAATAAAAAACACCTAATTGAATTTTGATTGAAAATCTTTAAAAAATTAATTAATTTTGAAAATTTTAAATATTTTTGTAATTTTGAATTTTTGTAAATTTTAAAAATTTTCAAGATTTTGAAAATCACCTATCTTATCGTTTTCTACTCGTCAAACCCTTTCATTTCATATGGCCATATGAAGGAGATTGTAAAGAAATAGGCAGGATTTATTTCCATCTCTCTCTTAATAATTTACAGCCACTCTAATAAAAAAAACGTAACCTCTAAGACTAACATGCTCTTCTGTTACTTAAAACAGTTTAAAACCTGTGTTGCGGTAGTTGTATAAAGTCGGCTTCACACTATGCGCAAACTAGACGAACGTCAAATGTACAGCAAGTTTGCGGTGGGCAATGAACAATGATGATATTATTGTTGTAATTCAATATTAATATAGTGTACTTATTTAATTAAAAAAAAACTTCAAAACAACTAACGGTTTTTCTTGACTTTACCCTTGTAACACTGTAACTTTTCGCTATTTATTTTGGGTGGGGGGACTTCCAAAACCCCCCTACCCTGATAAGGCACTGTGTTAAAACCCAAAAGACAAATGTTTAAAACGAACAGACTATTTGTCGAACTTGGCGAACATTTCTAGTTCGCCGCATAGTGTGAACCCGGCCTTACAGCAAAATAAATGACATAACCTCTGCAACTTCATGGTCTCCTGATACGTAGAACCATTGCAATGTTCGATGTTTATAAGGAAGCATAATTTCAAAAATAGTAAAAATAAACTAAGTGCATTTAAAAATGCACCTGACAAGAAGGGTTGGCGAACCGTCTAGATTTTATCTCGAAATTAAATTTTCATCTTTCAGACAACAGCTAATCATTATACTATATAGCAACTCTCGGCCGTACATAAATTATTCGTGGAACGTGAAATTAATTTTTAATAATGGCGAATAGAATTTCGGCCGGGCAGGCAGAACGAACGTCTGAAAAAGGCACTGTGTTTATGTGCCATGCATCATTACAGTACCCCGGCTCCAAATTAAAATCACATGGCCAAATCTGATTAAAAACCCGCTTCAAAAAGTCTTAATGTAGAGGGCATTAAACTCTACAAATTAAGACGACTGCTAAAAACTAACTGATGGGTATTTTGGGTTTTGTTACCAACTGGGCTGAAAAATTTTATTTAAAATTTGACATATTATTCACGGTGTGCCTGAACGAAGTTTAAGTCGCATAAAAATGACGCCAAAAACTGATTGCAGTTTCTTGATCGGGACCCTTTGGTGAATTAAAAATGATATTTACCAAAATCCTAGCTGATCCTCTTTTCGAAATTTTTTGAAAATTTATGATTTTTTTAAAAAATTGTTGTTTATTTTAGTCTACCTTTGACACGCAAGACAGATGTATCCCCATTTTTTTAGATATTTCTACGTTTATTAGGTTACAAAATGGCATTCTTATTAACCTTTTATTAAAAAAAAAATAGATTTTTAATAAAATTAAATAAAATAACGCTTAGAGAATATTTAAAATGTTGTTTAATTTAGGCTTTTTAGAAATTTTCAATTTTGAACGAAAAACTGGTTAAAGTTTTTTGATCGGCACTTTGGAGATTTAAAAACGATATTTACCAAAATTCTAACTGCTTTTCTTTAAATTTGTTAAAAAATCATTTTTTTTTAAATTATTTGTTTATCGCAAAGTCTACCTTTGCCAGAGTACACATTTGTACACCGATTTTTATTGATTGCAGTTTCTTGTTCGGGTCCCTTTGGTAACTTTAAAATGATATTTACCAAAATCCTAGCTGCTCCTCTTTTCTAAATTTTTTGAAAATTCTTAATTTTTTTTTTAAATTTTTGTTTATCTTACCTTTGACAGAGTACACATTTGTACACCGATTTTTATAATATTGGAGTATATTGTTGACGAGACTTGGAGAATACTGTTTTCATACTGAGCACATCATTAGATTTATACAGGGTTAGCCAAAAATCACGTTTTTATATAGTAAAAAGCATAATGCATAAACAGGTTTATCTCCAAAAAAATTTATTTTATTTAATTTTATTCAACATCAATTTTTCTTATAAAGTCTTGATAAGAATCCCATTTTGTAGCCTGATAAACATGAAAATATCTAAAAAAACATGGGTGGGTATATATCTTTTTTGCGTGTTATGCCAAAATCATGAATTTACGCTTTTGCTTTATTAAAAGAAGCAATTTTTGGCTAACCCTGTATATATTAAATGATGTGCACAGTATAAACACTATTCTCCAAATCTCCAATATTATAAAAATCGGTGTACAAATGTGTACTCTGTCAAAGGTAGACATTAAGATAAACAAAAACTAAAAAAAAAAATCATGAATTTTCAAAAAATTTCGAAAAGAGGAGCAGCTAGGATTTTGGTAAATATCATTTTTAAGTCACCAAAGGGTCCCGAACAAGAAATCAGTTTTTGGCGTCATTTTTATGTGACCTAAACTTCGTTCAGGCACACCGTGTATTTTTAAGTTTAAAAACAATATTTACGCTCTTATATCTTTTTAAGTAATAAAGGTAAATATATTTAACAATTTTCTGGGATTTTAAAGTAAATAAAACATTAAAAAAAATTTATTCATCACCCAAAGCAGCGTTAATTTTTGAGTAAATTTGTTGCCTAGGAACATCTGCACCAATTAAAAAATCTAAATGACTGATTAAAATGTCTGGAGTTGAATTTTCTGGTAGTTTAAACCAGGTCCTTCTTGTTGGTTCAAGTAAGGAATAGAGCACCTCAATATCCTAAAAACAATCTTTAAATTATAAATAACTACAAAAATATTCTTCATACTGGTTCGACTGTAATAAAATCGTTGTTGGCAGAAATAAGAGTTGTGTGGACAGGTATTTTTGAAGTAACATAGAAAGGAGGATCAGAGGTCCCATATAGTTTAAAATTCTCAAAAAAACCATAATCATACCACCTAAACTTGCCCTGACTATTAATTACTTGGGCATAATGGTTTAAAAGCTTTGTAGCAAAAGGACAGTTTCCAGTGTGCGTAAAGATTGGTAACATTTGCTATAAAACAAAATTTTAAAATATTGAATAATCGAAATAGGGAAAAGTTACTGGTAATGGGTTCGGATTACTAGGTCCTAACATCGCTTGAAAACCCACATCGCAAAGGCCAATTCCAGGGGCATTTTGGCATATTTCTAAAAAATCAATTGAGATCATTGGTACACCTTTTACATTCAATAGAAGCTAAAACAAACATGTAGTCAGATAATGCACAACTGTAAAAATATTAGCAGTTAGTGACAAAAAACACTATTGTTTAATTAACCAATAAAAAAATGTCTTACATATATTAAAGGCGACTTAATCATATACATATTGGCCGCTGGAGCCAGCGCAATAATCCCTTTAACATTTTTCTGGCAATGGCTAACATTCGTTGAACAATACACAAAACTCACAGTGTTACCCATAACATGACCTATGATGTAAATATCGCTAGTATTTTGCGTTATTTCAACGATTTTATCGACTTGAGATGGCATGTCTATGGTTCCCATCTCATGGAAACTATAATCCCAAAAGGCATCATCATCCTTGGTAAAGTGAATATTACTGGAATATTCTGAACCCCTCGGGTTTCCCAACCAGACATCCCAGCCTTTAAGGGCGTAATAAATGGCCGATGAGTTGACCCCTTGCAAAAGAAAACTTCTGCAGTCCCTGGTGAGGCCGGGAAAAAATAAAATCGAGCCTTTGGTGGGTGTGAACGGCGATATGATTCGGAATATTTCTATGGTGTATCCATCCCATGTGGTTACATTGTAAGACGTGGAACTCAATCCATGGTTACTAATAATTTCAGGCTGAAATGTATTTGTGGTTTTTTGACTATAACACATAAAGGGTGTCCCAAGAAGAACGAATTTTGAAAACATATTAGAAAAGTTAATGAGAACATGTTTTTAATTTATAATTCGGGGACACCAAATAAATATAAATTTAAACTTACTACTGAAGCTGTCACATCGGGATCATACCAACATCTATCGTTAACATAAATGGTATTATAATCTAATATTGTAGGGCAAACATTATTATTAGGATATAAATCTCCTAGCACACAATTTAACAAACACAAAAATATGATTGTTTTCATTTTTACACATATTTTTTCAAAACAAATTATTTTATACTTTAGTCCCGCTTAATATTCATAACTTTTAATTATTGATAAATTTTATGTTATTTGTCTTATATTTTTTTTTAATATTCATAACGTCTAATCATTGATAAATGTTGTTTTTTGTTGATAATTTAAAACAAATAGTTTATTTTTTACATTTTTTTTTTGATAATTTTTTTGAAATATTAGTAGAAACATTTTTGTAATCAGATTAAAATTTTGAAATGACCCAACATGGATTTTTTAAATTCTGGTAAAATATTGACATACTTAAAGGTTGAGGGTGGCAAATAGCGAACACATTTTGACCCTCGCCGTTCTATTTGTGTTTAAGTCCCCCTTGATAACAGACAATTGCTAGTAATTTTCGCTAACGTCCTTTTGTAAACAGCGACTGCGAGATTCGAGCCCATTGTTTGTCGAATGCAATCGCACCGAAATTCTACAAGTACTATGGAGAAATTTAATCTGCCACCCCCCCAGTATACTAACAGCACTGTGATGAACAATTCCGCCATAAAAGAGAATTATTTCACGTACTTTTTAAAAGACAATGAAAAGCTCTTGCTTAAATTTTAAGTTTATTTAAGACAGTTCTAAGAACGTTTTTTGTCATTGGTTAATAGATTTAAGACAGTTTTAGATTTAGGACAATTTTTACAGCTTTAAAGAAGTTTTAAAACGGATTAAGGGCAGTTTTATGTCACCTCTGTTACTTTTCGTCCTCAATTTTGAATAGTTCTAATTTAATGACGACCATCGGGACATTTAGGACAGTTTTTAAAAATACATTTTTTGGTGGATTTAGGACAAATTAAAAAAGTTTTTAAACAGATTTTAAATTAGGACATTTTATACAGTTTTAGATGGATTTAGGACACTTTTAAAGAAATTTTAAAACGGATTAAAGGCAGTTTTATGTCAGTTTTGTTATTTTTCGTCCTCAATTTTGAATAGTTCTAATTTAATGACGACTAACAGGACATTTAGGACAGTTTTTAAAAATATTTTATAGATTTAGGACAACTTAAAAAAGTTCTTCAATAGATTTTCAATTTGGGACTGATTTAGGACATTTTATACAGTTTTAGATGGATTTAGGACACTTTTAAAGAAGTTTTATAACGGATTTAGCTCAGTTTTATAACAATTTATTACGGGTTTAGGACATTTTAGACAGTTCTAAGCCAGTTTTACAACAGTTTTAGATATGTAAGTCATACTTTAGTTCTAGAACAGTATTAATATAGACAGTTTTAACTTCATTTTAGGATTTAGGACAATTTTTGATAGTTCTGAAGATAATACGATAAGATAATTTTAGTCAGTTTTTAGACGAGTTTAAGACAATTTTAGATAGTTTTAAGTTTTAAAGCAACATTTTAAGTTTTTAGGTTATTTCTAGTCCAGTTCTAAGATAGGTTTGATATAGCATTTAAGGCAGTTTTAAAATAGTGCAATAAAAAGGTTTTAGAACATTTTGGTATAATACATACAATATAACATCTTTAGGAATTTTAGACAGTTATTTAAAACATAATATTTTTGGGACTTCGAGATAGTTCCAACTTTCAAGTAAGTTTTAGGACTGATTTGGGACAGTTCAAAAGATGTATTTAAGAGAACTTAAGACAGTTAAGTTTTAATATTAGACATTTTTTAGACAGTTTTGTCGGGTAAAGACAGTTTTTTGGATATTTTTAAGACTGTCTAAATATTTAAATTAAGTTAATTAATCTCGATCTTAAAATGTCCTATAAAGTCCCAAAAATATTATGTTTTACAGAACTGTCTAAAATGTTTCAAAATAATCTAAATTGTTAAATCAAATTATTTTTAGAACTATTTAAAAATGTTCTAAATTCATTGTCATATATTATACTGTCTACACATTCAAAAACAGTTGTTATGAAAAGGTTTCTACTAATATTTTTAAAAAAATTATGAAAATAAATAATTATTATGCTTTGAAGAATATGTAAATGTTATAAACAAAAAATTATCAACAAACAAAACATAAAAATTATCAATGATTAGACGTTATGAATATATTAAGCGGGACTAAAGTATAAAATAATTTGTTTTGAAAAAAATAAGTGTAAAAATGAAAACAATCATATTTTTGTGTTTGTTAAATTATGCTCTAGGAGATTTATATCCTAATAATAATGTTTGCCCTACAATATTAGATTATAATACCATTTATGTTAACGACAGATGTTGGTATGATCCCGATGTGACAGCCTCAGTAGTAAGTTTAAATTTATTTGGTGTCCCTGAATTATAAATTAAAGCCATGTTCTCAATAACTTTCCTCGTGTGTTTTCAAAATTCAAGTTCTTCTTGGGACACCCTTTATGTGTTATAGTCAAAAAACCACAAATACATTTTAGCCTGAAATTATTAGTAACCATGGATTGAGTTCCACGTCTTACAATGTAACCACATGGGATGGATACACCATAGAAATATTCCGAATCATATCGCCGTTCACAACCACCAAAGGCTCGATTTTATTTTTTCCTGGCCTTTCCAGGGACTGCAGAAGTTTTCTTTTGCAAGGGGCCAACTCATCGGCCATTTATTACGCCAATAAAGGCTGGGATGTCTGGTTGGGAAACCTGAGGGGTTCAGAGTATTCCAGTAATATTCACTTCACCAAGGATGATGATGCGTTTTGGAATTATAGTTTCCATGAGATGGGAACCATAGATATGCCATCGCAAGTCGATAAAATCGTAGAAATTACGCAAAATACCAGCGATATTTACATCATAGGTCATACTATGGGTAACACTGTGAGTTTTGTGTATTGTTCAACGAATGTTAGCCATTGTCAGAAAAATGTCAAAGGGATTATTGCGCTAGCTCCAACGGCGAATATGTTTATGATTAAGTCGCCTTTAATATATGTAAGACATTTTTTATTGGTTAATTTAACAATGTGTTTTTTGTCACTAACTGCTAATATTTTTACAGTTGTGCATTATCTGACTACATGTTTGTTTTAGCTTATATTGAATCTAAAAGGTGTACCAAAAATCTCAACTGATTTTTTTGAAATATGCCAAAATGCCCCTGGAATTGGCCTTTGCGATGTGGGTTTTCAAACGATTTTAGGACCTAGTAATCCGAACCCATTCCCAGTAATTTTTCCCAACTTCTATAATTCAATATTTTAAAATTTCGTTTTATAGCAAATGTTACCAATCTTTACGCACACTGGAAACGGTGCTTTAGTTACAAAGGTTATAAACCATTATGCCCAAATAATAAATGGTCTGGGCAAGTTTAGGTGGTATGATTATGGTTTTTTGGAGAATTTAAGTCGATATGGGACCTCTGATCCTCCTTTCTATGTTACTTTAAAAATACCTGTCCACACAACTCTTATTTCTGCCAACAACGATTTTATTGCAGTCGAACCAGTATGAAAAATATTTTTGTAGTTATTTATAATTTAAAGATTGTTTTTAGGATATTGAGGTACTCTATTCCTTACTTGAACCAACAAAAAGGACATGGTTTAAGGTACCAGAAAATTCAGCTCCAGACATGTTAATCAGTCATTTAGATTTTGTAATTGGTGCAGATGTTCCTAGGCAACAAATTTACTCAAAAATAAACGCTGCTTTAGGTGATGAATAAACTTAATTTTAAAATTTTTATTTACTTTCAAAACCCTCAAAATCCACAACAAAAAATCTATTTTGATATTTAAAAATAAACATTGTGTAGGTACCTTATTAGAAGTGGTATATTTATTCGTAATCACCATAACAACAATATTAAAAAGTGTCAAATTCGTTACTTGACAATGAAAAGGTCTTAAAATTTTTAGACACGTGTCAGTTTTTGGACATTTTTATATAGTACAAGTACAACTTTTTAAAACAATTAAAATAAATTAAGGACAATTAAAGATTAGAAGTAAAAATGGGACTACATTCTATCAAACAACAGTAGATTAACGTCATTTTTTAATAGATTTAAGACAGTTTTAGATTTAGGACAATTTTTACAGCTTTAAAGAAGTTTTAAAACGGACTAAGGGCAGTTTTATGTCACCTCTGGTAATTTTTGTCCTTAATTTTGAATAGTAATAATTTAGAGACGACTAACAGGACATTGAGAACAGTTTTAAAAAAGTTTTTTAATTTTTTTTATTTTATACAGATTTTAATTAAAGACTGATTTAGGACATTTTAGACACTTAAGATGGATTTAGGACACTTTTAGAGAAACAGATTTAGGTTAGTTTTATAACAATTCATGACGGGTTTAGGACATTTTAGACAGTTCTAAGCCAGTTGTACAACATTTTTAGATATATCTACATATATGTAAGTCATACTTTAGTTCTAATACAGTATTAATATAGACAGTTTTAATTTTATTTTAAGACAGATTTAGGACAATTTTAGATAGTTCTGAAAAAGTTTTACGATATTTAAGTTATACTTTAGTTCTGGGACATTATTAATATAGACAGGTTAAACTTCATTTTAAGAAGAGTTAAGAACATCGTAGTCAGTATTTAGACGAATTTAAGACAATTTTAGATAGATTTAAGTTTTAAGGCGGCATTTTAAATTTTTACAATTAGTTTTTGGATATTTTTAGTCCAGTTCTAAGACATGTGTAAAATAGCATTTAAGACTTTAAAATAGTGCAATAAACATTTTTTTTGTAACACCTTAGACTGCTTTTAATTCTTTTAAGATTAATGTAGGACAATTTTAAATAGTTCTAATAATAATCTAATATGACAATTTAAATACTTTTAGGAGTTTTTAGACAGTTATTTAAAACAAAAATTTTACAACTTGTTTCAACTTTAAAGTGAGTTTTAAGACTAATTTGGGACAGTTCAATAGATGAATTTAAGACAGTTAAGTTAGATATTTAGATATTTTAGTCAGTCACCTTAAAAGACTGTGTACATTTTTGATATTTAAACTTAACTGGGTAAAATTGTCCTAAATCAATAAAACAAAATAATATTTATTATTTTAAAATCTTACTTGGAACTACATCTAAAACTCTCTTTAAAACTAAAGTTTTATTATATAACTGTCTAAAAATGTCCTAAAACGATCTAAAATGTCTTATTACTTCTTACAATATTTTTAGTATCTGACTTGTATTAGACATTTTAAAACATTTAAACAGTTTTTGTACTTTTTAAGATTTATGATCAACCAAAGTTTTAAAATAAAATATTTTAGACAGTTAAGACATTTTCGGATAGTTCTGAATAACCATAACATTTTTTACCCAAACCCAATACTTTTTAGTTTTAGTTTTAGTTAGTTTCAAGATTCATAGTTCAATAAAAATATATAAGATTTTTTTTAAGTTTTAAAGTAATTTTTTTTAATTTTTAATTTATTTATTTTAATGTATGATGGCATATTTAATTATATTCCAGCATAGTAATTTGAGTAATATAAACATCGTTCATTTTGGTCATCAATAATAATTTTTGGTAATCACTCATTGATTGCGCAGTGACAATGATAAAAATACCAATTACTTCATAAAATATTTGAAGGTAATTTTTAAATAAATTAAATTTGCCAATAAAATTCAATCATACACGGAAACCAATAAATTTAAAGATGTATTTCCGTTAATTATATTGTTTATTAAAAAACGTTTTTCTTGGTAATACTTAGCCTATATGACTATTCAATTGAACAATAATCATCCTATAGGCCTAGTAAAATTATTAAACTTAATGGTCCATTAGGTCCATAAAATTCTTAAATTATTATCTTTTATAACAAATCTAGGATAATAAATTCAATTAAATTAATAATAAATATTTGAAATTCTTTAAAATGATGCTTGGATTATTCAAAACAGGAAAGCACATTACCATAAATAGCCATATTTAAATTATAAGTATTGAAACAGTTAGTTTTATAGCGTTTTGCGAAAATTTTGCATACGCAAAAAATTGTTATTTATCGACACTATATTTCATATTAATGAATATATATTTGTATTTTACATTGAACCTACCTTTATAACTTAAAAATGTTCTAAAACTATTGAAAATGGTCCTAAATGTCATATCTTAAAATCGTTGATTTATGACAACTTTCCTTAATATTGTCTAAAAATGTCCTAAAAACATCTTAATAATTTTAAGTAAAATTGCCCTAAGAAACTGTATATCTTAAATTAAAAATGTATGTTGTGTAAAACCGTCATATAATTTGATAAATTTAAAACAAAATCTAAACATTGCTTACCATGTACACTAAGCATAATTTTTATTTATATCTGCATAAATTATACAAATTTTGCGGTGCATTCCGGACAAATTGCCTACAAGTGACTAAAGATGGTTTCAAAGAAGAATAAATGCTTCTACAAGAAAATGTAAATAACCAAAAGGATAATCCCGATCAAATAACTGACGACGATACCCAACAAGAATTTCCGAGAAAAAAAAGTAAGTGACTCACGCCTGAGATTTTTGTGTGCACTTTTTTCGAATTCCTTTCAAAAGATATACAATATGGGTTTTTTGATGGGAGTGTGAATTAACGTAATTAGTGGTTAGTTAATATACGGGGTTTTTAAAATGAAGGCTTATAAGCCTTAAAATGTACAATTTCAAGTTTTTTTATTGTAAACTAAAAAATATAGATTTTTCAACGTTTTACGTAATTGATATATGGGTGAATATATTGAGATGGATATGTTTTTAAATAGCAAATTAATGAACTTAAACTTTTGAATTATAAAACAGCAACACTCTCATCTGCATATAAATTCTAACTGACCTTCAGGAATCACATGCATCTATAATGTCGTAAACAGAGGTTTTTGCTTATGTAAAATGATTAAAGCGCCATCCGTTGCATAAAATTTAAAGCAAAAACAGATTCACGGAAGATAGAATCCATTTTTGTAACACCTACATAAATGATTATGATTATTAAAATGTTTAATTTACTTAGTGAACTAATACTAAAAGCTTTTACTACCTCAGATATTTGAAAACATATGGGTAAACCTAGAAAGAGTAACAGTCACGGAGGATAGGTTTTAGACTTTTAAAACATTGTAAAAAATAATTAATTGCGGTTAAAAATCTGGAACCTGAGCTGTAATATCTACTTAATTATGATAGATCAATAGGTAGGTCAAACTCATTTAGTTTTATTAAATATCGGGGGACATTTGAGAATAACCCCACTGTAAATTAAAAATATGTATTGGTATTGGTGCTGAATTTTAGCCCAAAACCAACTTTAATATTATGTCTAATTTACATGTTTATGGTAATTTAGTTAGTGCCCCTTTGAAACGGTGTAAGTACCCAATAAAATAAACATAAAATTTCGCATCTTGGGGCATAATTCATTAGCCGTTTTGCCGCTTGGTCGTTGACTCCTCTTGTTACATATTTTTTATTCGGTTCGCCAATAGTAACGGGATATGAAAAAAAAAATAAAGTTTTTAAGTATTAATAAATTATCTCTTTATACTTTGAAGTAGAGGAACACTAAACTGGCAACAACGCATTTATATAATTCTACGACATTGTTCTCACTCGTACTATCTGTTAAAAAAGATTTAATTCATTTCAAGAAATTTGACAACCTTACCGAAAAATTAAAGACAATGTTATTTTTAAAATCTTGGTGATAGATTATGCCAAAAACAATTTATTTTTTCCACTCCCACCTTTAAGACGCCCATTATTGTACTATACATGGTTCCATGATCTTTTAAATACACATTGACAAGCTTTTAGTTGTCAAATGTCATAAAATCCCTAAAATAAAGTGCCCTTCTTGTGAAAAATACTAAATGTAAAATAATTGTATTATCTTAATACACAAACACACAACTCCACAGTCTTTTTACTTTCACTGTGAAAACCTGCTTCTATATCGGATTTAAACTGTTGGGAGTTCATTTTTCAGGGATACATGTTAACAAATCTACAGTGTAGTTATGTTCTAGACAATTCGTTCATAAAAGTATGGTAAAAAATTGACTTAACAGAAACACATTTCTCTCAGTGTACTCGTATAATCTGATCCAATTGAGATCCTGCGCCTACTCTAACCAACATGCATTGATTTGACATGGCGCACCGGTGACTGGATGTAGCATTGGAAATGTGTTCCATATGCAATCGAGAGCCCGGGTTTTCCATCGGGGCCTACGTGATCTGCATCGGGTACAAGGAAGAAGAAGAAGAAGAAGGATAGACGTCACTGCCGATGGCTGTCTGATGATCTTTCTCTGTTTCTGCGGTCACAGGAGACCATGATTTAATTCTAAAAGACAGCATTGAATTGGTGCTTGGTTACTATTTGTTGCCATTTTAAATCAATTGAAATGGTAAATACGACATTTTTATTAAAAAAATAACGAAATTACCTAGTAAGAAAAAGTAGGAAGTAAATATTAATTTTGAGCATAATCTAGCATGAAATCTTATATACATATAATCGAACTAAATAATATTTACTATTTAGCATATTTTAATTAATTAATTAATTAACCAAATACGAGAATTAATTTGAGGCGATTGAATTAAATAAACGTAAACATATTCGAACGAGCAAACAGTTATCAGTATGCTTCAGCGTTTATATTAGCTGATAAATAATTAAAAC